TTGCGATCCGGGCCAGGATGCTTGTGGCCTTCTTGGCCACCTGGGCACACTGCTGGCCACCAGCACCTCACACAGAAGAGTCCTGAGCACGTCTGCCCTGGACAAACCAATGGCTACAGGCAGCACACAGCCCCCAGGGCAGCACAGCTCTGCACCTCGACCTGGTCTGGATGTGCCCCATCCTCTTTGAAGCTCCACACCTGCTCACTTCCCCCACCTGAGCCACAGCTCACCTGGGCCCTGCAGACATGACTGGGCAGCTGCTCTCCGTGCAGAACTCCGTGATGGTGCCGTAGAGCATGTTGATCTGGTTGAAGAAATCCACAGCTGGAAAGGAAACACCCCTTCACTGAGGGCAGCCCTGCCCAGCCAGCACTCCTCTGAGGATCTCTGTCACTCAGGGGAGAGCTGTGCCCAGGGAGAGCAGCTGAAAAGCAAAATAAACTTGTGGGATTTGGCTTTTTAAACTGTGTGTGCAGCAAGAAGCAGGAAACTAAAGAGAAACCCACCAGCCAGGGCCACACGGTTCCACTCACCCTGGGCTGCCCACAGCTGCCAGTGCTGCCACCCCCACACTCCAGGACAAACACAGCTGTCCCCAAACCTGAGAGTCTGTGGGTCCAAGCTCGATGAAACCCACCCCAGAACCCCCAGGGTGTGGGTTCACTCCCTGCCCCCTTCTGGAGCACGTCACCCCCCGGAGGCGGCTGCTGCTGGCTCAGCGCCCCGCTGGCCCTCCCTTCACCTCACAGGGGAAGCTCCAGCTCCCCAGAAGGATTCAGAGGAGAGGTTTGGGGTTCACCCCACTGCACCCCCACGCTCTCTCTTCCACAGCACTCACTGTTGACAGCAATCCACTCGTGGAGGTCCTCCCCCTCGGGCAGCATCCCCGCCTGCCGCAGGTTGCCGCTGCCCAGCGTGGCCTCGGCGTGCTTCAGCAGCTCGTACTGGTGGGAGCCCTCGGGGATGTTCTTCTTGGGCTTGAACGTTTTGGAGGATCGACTCCCGCTGGCCGGTGAGAGGAAACCCCTCCGGTCAGGCCTGGGCCGGGCTCCACCCCCGCGGGCAGG